ACCAGAATGATTGAAGCAACAATATTGTCGAGGTTTCTTCACATAATCATTCTTGCCAAAAGTATGTCGCGTCTAAAACAGACTATGTTTTTTTGCTTTGTGATGATGTTTGTTAATTGTGTGTACTATAGTCCATCTGTGTTCATGAACTCGTCCAAAGCTCATCGAGTTGAATGCATTTCTCTACTTTTCAATATTCTATCGAATCAGAGAACACTATTTTGTAAACAACTGATAAGAAAATCGTAATCAATCTTGAGAAGATATTTTGAGATAGTGATCAATGACAGAGTCGATTTGGTCTGCTTTTGCTTTTCATTTCATTTTCGAGTGCGACTTGTATGGATTTGTACACATGTACATGACATATTTCCTTGTGTGGTATCGATATTTTTCTCTCTTTAATTTTTGTCACCTTTTTTTCTATGAACTCTAAACAACGAAACCTAAGATGAATATGCAGGATAATTAAGAAAAGTCATATGTATCCGAGGTTGATTTTGACAAAGATCGATGATGAACATATCATTGCAAATCAATATGATACGTAGTAACAGTCTTGATGAATAAATATCACTACAATCCGATTATTTTTCCTTAGATTCTCTCTTCATCATTGATCATGTACATGAGTAACAAATAGTAAAGTAATCCATCAACCAAGTGACTTTTCACACCTAAAGATGTCTCATCATCTTGAAGGAATATTTGCATGGGCGTTCATTCATTATGTTGAGGTCGAGAAATGTTTGATGAACAATTTTTCTCGTCACATTCAACAAGTCAGTTGCGTTCAACATCGATTTCATCAATATTTAATTGTGAAAAATATATTAGTTTCAACGGATAACCTTGCATTTAATAAACAATATCATTCGAGATCAACAAATTTTGTTGAAGAAATTACATATTATTTGAAAACATTTCAATTTCAATTGATTTTACCGTGATAGAATCAAGTATCTCAATATATAGGCTGACGATATCTAGAATTATTGTATCTATCAGAAAGAGTCAATTGGATCTTCATACATTGCAACAAATCATTTACCAACATCTTGCTGTTGGTAGTTTATTTAGCAGAAAAGCTCGGTGAAGAAATGACTGTTTCGAATCTTTGAATCAATCTCAAGTTGAATGAATACATTTACTTCTCATCCATGGAACTCTTGGCATAAACTGTAATAATCATCTGCTCATTGGCAAAATTGATAATATCATTGAGAAAACACACACCGGAAAAAAGAGACATGGTCCGTGTTGTAAATAATCGTTCACAATTTTGCTGAGAAACCAATATTGTTTCGAAATTGTACTGAAAAAAACAAAGTTCATAGCAGAGCTTTGTTTCAAACACATGGATGGCTGCAATTAATGATAGAAAGTACTGTAGAAGAACTATAATTTTATTTACATTCTTTTTGAGAAAACAAGATTCGTAACAGAAGTTTGATTTAAATGTGGTACTAAAAGTATCAGTGATATGAGACTCTGTATAGAAAAACAGAATTCTGCGTAGGTTCTGCTATGAGGAATAGGATTTTTGAGAACATTCTCATTCTTCTATTACAGCATTTTGAGAACTGTATTAGATTCAGATAATGATAAATACGTATATTTACAATACAAAATTCTTAAATTCTGCTTGTGATGAATTCTATCACTCTTCGAATGAGGGGATGTTTCAGTGTAGATTGTGATAGATAATGGCGTGTTTGAGTTGATAGTAATTAGTGTTGAGATTGTAATTGCTGGCGAGCTTATAGTGGTAGTGATGTAAGGAAAATACCTGGCCATTGCATAGATAGAATGAATAGTAGCATAGATACAAGAGTGATTGTATTAATAATCGGGATAGAATACAGTCTACACCCATTTACTATGTCAGTAGAGGCAATATGTTGAATCACTGTACGAATAACTATTTCTATTAGTTGATACAAGATTTACTAAGAAGATCATATGGGAAAACTATTGAATAGACAATAGAGCTTACAAATAACTCAGATCTGTTGCTCAAACTTATTTCAACTTTAGTTACTATATCTAAATTGAATGGCTCACCCCAAGCGGACTCAATGACAAAGTAAGATAAACAATATTGGTACGCGTATGAAACATTTATATCTATTCAGATTGTCGAATTACGACATTGAATAAAATGTTCTTATAGACACTTACTTATAGCGACTCAAAAAAAGAACGAAATTGTAAATGCATCATATTTGAGAAATGATGAAAGATCTTTCAACCGCCCCATCTTGAGATAAGAGTTTATCGTTGATAATAAATATTCTCTTCACGATATTACGCATTTTATTCTCTTTTCATTAGAAGAGCAAGCCTTTTCTACAGTCACACCTTTTGAAGGCAAGAATGCACTTGAATTTCGTTCTTCACCATCCTGCGTTTTAGTAGTTGATCACGGAAAGATTGTGAGTGTATAAAGAATGTTTAATAATGATATCAGTAGATGGGAATGAATTAGTCCAAGAAATACTGACTTTATGAGTATAATCGATCTTCATATATTTTCTCTTGTTGTTCTCATTCAGATCGATCAAAATAATTCTTACAAGAAATCGTCACTCCACAGGAACTAGACTAACGATATTCGTTGACCGTCAAAATTCAGATTTGTCGAAATTAAATAGGTGTGTCTTAAAATAATGAAAGTTGATTCGTTTAGATAGAGAGAGAGAGAGAGACACAAATTTTAATTGTTGTTCTTATAAGAGGATGTCATTAGATTTATTGCAATCATGATTTTGTTCAAGAATTGATCATAGATCTAATGAACAGATCATTCACATGCATCCAGAGAATCTCTTGAATGTTTGAACAGGCAAACACATTGTATTTCGATGAAAAGACTGAGAACAACACAGATACTAATTGAGTGAGATATTGATATATTCTGCCGTTCGATGAACAAAATATTCATGACTAATTTTGAAATTTCTTTATTCTTATTCAATTTACACTAAATGATAGAAGAACATATTGAGAGTTAGTAACTGTTGCTATAATTCTATTTAGATGTCATCAAAATTAGAAAAGAAAAAAATGAATATTTTGATAAAGCATTGAATGATTGATCTGTTTCATAAAAATGATCATTGATTATTTAATCGCTAAGAAATTCAAGTTAATCGTATTCTTATCTCAGTTTCGTTCAAGTAGAGTTAACATGAATCAGATGTTGAGTCATTATCGTCGCATTAGATTTTGCACTGTAACACGTTTAGAAGATCTTCAACTATTCAATACTCAATGTCAATAGATTCCGCATCCAGCTAGTGATATTTCATCGTTAAAATTCTTGTACTTGATTCAGATCGTTTCGTCGATGAATCTTCCTCAGTCAATATTGATTATCAATAATTATCGCTGTTGATCTCTCGACAAGTATCCGGCATATATTTCAGTAATCACAGATTGAGTTAATTTGCAAACACATTTTTTTCCTAGATTACCTCGCTTCATTGGGTCTATATCTCATAGAAATGCAATATACATACACTGGATCTTTATATCCGTTTTCTATCTTTGCCATGATCATTAAGAAGAATGTCGATGATGCAATCATATTAGAACAAAGCAATCTAACAGTAGTCGAAGATTACATCTTTTTCAACTTGTCAGTGTATTTCTCTGTTAACTGGCACGAGTTCTTCAATATTGATCAATATCTTCTATTAGTTCGAGTTGCTAAATTTATTTGAATTGTTATTTAGGTATATTGGTCTTGTTGATTTCATTTCGACTCTTTTTATTTTTTTTTACAGAAATGAAAACATCTAGTCCAAGTCGTTTCTTCGAGCAAAGCGATTGTCGTGTACAACACAACGAATTAGAAAAGCATAGAAAACTTATAGAAAATAATCCAAAACAAAAAAGAGAAACAGGATGTTAAAGGTACATTCGAACAATTGGTGATTTTTTTCGACGTGATGAAGTTCTATTCTTACTAACGCAGAACCAACTTAAAAAAACAAACTTTCAATAGGATTTATTCACCTTGTCATCACTACTGATCTGGTCTTTTATTGTCGTATTGAAGTCACATGACTTAGCACACATGCTCAAACGAGATTTTATTCATCTGAATCTCAAATGAATTGAATTTTTTTCCGAGGCAAATAGAACATCGAATGATACTCATGTTTCATCCTCAACACAACCTTGTTGGTAAGATGATCCGTTTGCGCTGAAAAATAACTTGAACATTATGCTGTTAGGAAAGAATCATCATTGATCGAATAAGACTTGATGCATGCAAGAAAACATATATCGAGATTTTGACAAAGGTAAGTAATAGAACAATTTTCAAAGTGTATAGACATGTATAGAAATGCCAAAAAGTAAGTACAGAGAATACTTTATATGTAAATGAAACATTTATTTATTATCATTGACTTTTGATGACATACTGATGTTGTTCCAATGCTTATATATGTTAGATCTTCATCTCACAAACAAGTTGCAAATATATTCTTTCATTAGATTTTATTCATTTATTTATCTGATTATGTACTTCAGTTGAATATCGCTTAGTAATCAGATCAATACAAAATTTAAGATGGTTACTTATCAATCATAATCTATCTCAAAAAGAAAAAACATTGATCCGTATCTAACTTATTCTTATAAGGTCTCTTTTTCATGTAAATTTTATGAACATATAATTATTAAACCATTGTAGCGCAACTATTTGAAGTTTTTTTCTTCTGTTTCGCACACATTTAGATATGCAATTTCTTTTTTCTATGTATAGAAACTTGCATTCGATTATGATAATTCTAATGTTTTATAGAAGCATTATTTATGTTTTCGTAAATGTAGTTATCATTATTTTTCTAAGAATAAAAATGAGATCATTTTTTATTAGTTAATCTCGTTTATCATGTAGTCATCATAGAAAAAGAGCAAAAACTTGTTTTAATAACTGTTAAATTCAATTGATTTATGCCAATAACAAAAAATAAAGAAAAAGATATTTATGTTATTGTTTGTCGTATAAGAAAAATATGTGGTGTTACAGGTTGTTGATAAACAAGAAATCGACAATATGGACAACGATAATGTGTTTGTAACCAATGAAGAAGACATTCACGATGATAAATATGTTTACATGTTAATTGTAAAAGTATATCAGTTATATTAAAATCTCCTAAACAAATAGAACATTGTGATGGATTATGAATTTGATTATATTGAATTGTTTGTGCTATAATATCAGCTGTAAGAATTTGATTATTATCTAATGATGATGATATAGTAGATTGAATAATTGTAGCTATGGTATCATTTAATAAATGTTGTCGGACAACAATTAATGAATTTGTTTGTATTGAAGAATTTATTTCAATTATTGTTTGTGGTCGTGTAGTTCGAGAACTTGGAATTGTTTGAATTATATATGTTGATTGATTAGATGATATAGGATTATAGAGAACTTTAAGTGCCCAACGATTATTAGCTATATTGACATGCATTGAATTTGACATAATTTAGTTTTATGAAATATTCGCGCAACTCAATATTTGGTTGCTAAAGACAATATTTGAGAATTAGACCATTTATTGATTTTAAATTTTATAAAAAATAAAATAGAAAAGTTTTTTTTTTAAAATTTTATATTACATAAAAAAATAGGTAAGAGTTATTTACGTTCTTTTTCAATGAATTATAATATGAAAATAAAAAATATTTAATATGACTGCAGATAAAAACGAATGTCGATGAAAATATCTATTATTTTTTCATCTTTTAAAATCGTTTGTTTATTTCAGAAGAAAAATAAAAAGAAATATGATATAGACATTTATGTTTAAAAATAGATCACATAAATATACCTATGATTATTTCGATAAAAAGAACCAGGACATTTTTCATCAGAGACCTTATATTTATATCTTAATATAATAGATTACTTCATGTATAAGAATATATCTCTAGAAATTATATGCTATTTTAAATCAAACGAATACTATTAATAGAATGTTCGTTAAACATAATATCTTATATAAAATGTTCATTTGCAAGAGATGATATATCTTTATAGATTTTGTTAAGAAATTTGAATTTAGAACAAGTTATTTATTATTCTAGGTGGTAGAATTTCGTCATTTTGACTCGTTCAGAATTATAATTCTTATAAATATACTTGAACTGATAGTTTACTGAACTTTGTTGACATCTCCGAATATTCTCTTGTGAAATATCGTTATAAGATAGTTTAAATTATGAAGTTTTTAAACTATATATAGATTTAATTTCGTCGAATAGTAATAAAATTTTTGTTGTCAGCGTTTTCTTTTACAATATATATTTTTTTCTTTAGAATATCAAAAAACTAATATATATTCTATCTATGATACAAAAAAAAATGATGTAGATCTTTTTTCTGATCCAGTTCTGTAATTACAAAACTCATATAATTAACTACGACAATAGTGGGGTTCTGTGTGGATTATCGTCCTACATTTCTTATGAACTTATTATTCAACTTGAGAACATTGTTGCTATTTGATCGAAGCGCACAAATGCTATGGATGTTTATCTTTGGAATAAGAACAAAATTATCATGTAATGAACATAGTATAATTATCAAATGTTTGATGGTATCAATAGATTTATATTTAGAAAAATTGTTCCTTTTCTATACTTACTTTGATTGTATAATGATTCATTAAAAATAAAACAACAATTAGATATACTTTTCTAATTTGAGTTAGTTAGAACTGTCAAAAGTTATCAATCTACCTTTTTCGAAAGAAGAACTTTTGTCAGATGTACATATTTATTATCTTTGTTTGACAGATGACTATAATATAATATTAATTATATATTTATGTAATATCATTTTATGATTTTCTATTTCGAGGTGAAATCTCATATATTAATTAGTACACATGGTGATATCTGTTTGATGAAATTTGAATTAATGATCTTGTTAAATTATAGAATATAACTCCTTCAATATCTTCGTCATTGCTTGACTTCTATTTTTCCAATGCATTACATTGACATAACTATTATTATTCATATTGCTGCAATGTATCTTTGTCATTTATTTTTATCTTAGTTATATGTTCAAGCATCGAATGATATTTTAGTAGGTGTCTCAAAGTGGTTTAATTTTTTTTTCTAGCATTTTATAAAAAAAAAAAAATGAAGTCAGAGAATAAAAAACATTCCAAATCACGCATCCAACCGGAAATAAATGCCTATTAATTGTTGCCGTTGACGATCGTTGTTTAGAAAGAAAAGAAAAAGGAAATCGGATTGGGTTTTTTCTATACATACTCATGACAAGTAAGATCTTCTATTATAATATATATATATATATGTATCATTTAGTCAAATATATAGTAAGTTTTTTTCTGATAATATAGTTCTATTATTGAATCTAATAGAAAAAGAAAAAGAGCTTAAAATCTGTAGGCTTCATCTGGCTTGAAATTTACTAGTCTTAACATTTATTCAGTTGAATGCTTTTTAAATTACCGGGTGAGAAATGGAGTTTGCATGATTTTATAGAAACAGAAAAATTTTTTGCTATTAAAAAGACTATCCCTACCAATGAAATTGTCATTAAAAGCCACTTTACTTTTTCCGGAACTCACATATATTTTCAAAGAAAATAGTGAATGTAAATTTTATATCGAATTTTTCCGACGCCCACTCTTCCCATTAAAGACCTTAGGAGCCTTCTCCTCCATGCCACAGTTGTCATTTGATCCACATGAAAGGTATGAATTGATCAAGTTATAATTTAAAAAAATAATCAATATCAGTTTTTTGTGAGTTAATCAAGATATATAATATTATGTTAGAGCCTACTGCTGTAGATATAATAGATATTTATAACGACCTTATTTCCTATTTAATTCAATGCCTGTAATGATAACAATATCAAATAAAGGAAAATAAAATACGAAAATGAAAAATTACAAGCGAATAGCAATAACATAAACACAAAATTGAACGCCCATAAAAAACAAGAAGCAATTTCTATTCGAAATGCAAAAATAAATAAGACCAATCTTCACTTTATTGATCGATTATCTTCGAACAGAACTAATGTCTATGAGGGATTTTTCACTTCATCTATTTTGTATTAGTTTAATGAGGCTAAAGAAGATATATGAGTTCCACATTTCAGTCCCAAAGGAGCTGCGCTAACAAGCTTTTTTTCAGATGTTATTAGAAAGTTGACTGGTGTAGACTTTCAATGTTGTTTATGAATACATGCGAAGATAGAAAGGAAAAGTGACTCTTTCTTGCAACTTATTAAGATGGAAACCGAATCACAAATGGATTTAATAATGTAGAAAATTGATATGTAGTTTATAAAAAATGAGTATAGTATGTAATGAGCGTTATTCCCAATTCGCTTGTAAGCCTGAAGACAATAAAAATATGAATCAAGGTGTATTATCTGTTGCTAAGAGCGGCTTCTCTTCTTTGATTTTTTTTATTTGTATTATCTTTTCCTTTCATTTTCATATGGAAATGAAACAAACAGTTAGTGCAAATAAAAAAATTCCAAGAAGAGAAACCATTCTAAACAACAAATAATATACGTTGATTCATATTTTTATTGTCTGCAGGCTTATAAGTGAATTGGGAATAACACTCATTACCAAAAAAAAACAAGGAGACAGAACATCATGTTTAATCCGTTATTTTCTATCGAAGAAAATCTCTTTTATTCTCTTCTTTGCAAACTCTTGACAATTGTTAAGACAAACAATAAAAATATTTCAATCAAAGGGTAGACATATTACTATCCGTTTAGACTTTATTCTATCGAATTAATATCAAGTTCAAATATATTTTTCTAAGCATATAATGTTCTTGCAAGACATTGGATTTATCTCATCTTTATAGTCTTTGAATACAACTCTAATGAACCTTCTCATGAATACTCGTGTTTTTTAAGTATGCATCCATGATATTTGTTCTCGAATCTGAGTATGCCAATCGAGTACTTAATGAGCAATATTGAATGTTTTCTTGGCCTATCTATTTAGTTTTATGTTAATTTTAATAGCTTATAGAAAATACTACTAGGTATATATTTTTGTTTCGTAATTGTTCTATTACATCCGTTTTATGTAAATAAAAAATTATTAACAAAAAATGCCGATGTATATCATGACAATTTGAAAAAAACTATCAATATGAAAACGACCAGTATTAATAATTTGTTATAAACATTTTTTAACAAGAATAATAGGAACCAAGAAATCTTCATTATTAGAAAAGTAAGTTACATATTTTATTTCCATATAAAATAGGTAACCAACTTCCTGTATTCATTCTTTTTTTTTTTTGGAAAGAATAACAGAGAAGAAAATAAGGTTCTGAAATAACAAGAAAAGTCTATTATCGATAAAATATACAATGAGGAAACATGATTACTAATTAAATATAATGTTTCAAGGTTGTTATCCTACAAATTTTTGTTCATTGTGTGTATGTTACTGAAAATAATTTTTTTCTGATTGGGTGAAAATTTTTTTTTTTCATTATTCTTTCAAGATATTAATAAAATCTTATTATTATTTTTTCTGACGTAAAAATAAAAAAATATTTAACTTTCTTCTTCAATAATAAAGACACCTGTATCTATGTCTCATAAAGTAAGAGCACAGTAAAATACAAATGATTAAAAATGAATAAGAAATTATTCAATCAGATTGAATAGTGTAATATCAAATAGACATGTTTAAAGTCAAGACTATCAACAATCATTTAGTAATTTCTAAAAACAATAAATAGAGGAGAAACTTTTTTCTCCATAGTATTATACACAAGTCTTCATAATTTAAAATTATGATTCGATTTGTAACAAAAAAACAACCGTTAGTTGCCTTCGTTATTCATTTGTGTTTTATAGTTAATCTGAGAAACTATATTTTAATAGAAGACTTTTTATTTAAAAATTTAGAAAATGAAATTAGAATTCATTTGTATAAATACATATTTAAATAAATATTCAATAGCACACGATGGCAGATTGATAATTGAGAAAATAAAAAATCGTTTTTTATCTTCTTTCTTTATTTAAATTTATCCATTCATTAAGATCATATAAATAAGGTATCAGAAAATAAAGGATCAACTAAAAAAAAGTCATTAAAAACAGCTTTTCTTTATTTTTATTATTTTTTTTAATTACATCACTTCATTTTTCTTCATTACACATAACTTCAATCTATTTTTTTTTCTATAGTGCTGCATAAGTATTTTGTTAAATATCCCGTGAAAACGATAGATACGTATATCAGACTTATTACTCTAGTTCCCTACTGAAATATTCTATTCGTCGAATAATTACATTCATTTAGTGAATTGATTCGTAGACTAACTCGTAATAATTATATGATAAGATATAAGAAAAAAAAAATTTCTTGAAAGTTTAAGCATAACATTCAATTTTTACTACGTATTAAAAATGAGAAAAAAAAGAGAAAAACAAATTTTAATTTTCTATTTA